TCAGAGAGAGAGAAAGACCTGGGGGTTGATATCACACCAGACCTGTCCCCTGAAGCTCATATCAAAAGGATAACATCAGCGGCATATGTCAGGTTGGCTAACATAAGAACGGCCTATAGAAACTTGTGAAAGGAATCTTTCAGAACATTATATACCACATATGTCAGACCAATCCTGGAGTATGCGGCTCCAGCATGGAGTCCATATCTAGTCAAGTATAAGACTAAACTGGAAAGGTTCAAAGGTTTGGCACCAGACTAATTCCTGAACTGAGGGGTATGAGCTGAGTTCTCCAATGTAACAAGGGAGAACTCAGTGCTAATACTTAATGCACAGACTTGCTTATGAACAACAAGTTTGAAGTATAGAACTTTTAGACACTCACACCCACCAGGGGACTCGAACACTGGCCATCAAACTTGACGTTTATAAGAAAGTGTGTGCATTAAGCATTAGCACTGAGTTCTCCCATATAACAGGGCTTGATGAAAAACGTGAGGTATCCCTCACTGTCTCATTGTCTGGAGAGATGGAATATCTGGTTGGTTAAATACCCCAGACCTCCCACCTCTTTAGGGCTCTAAAGTATGGTGTAGTGGATACAAGTGCGTACCTGCCATCTTGATGACCAATGTTCAAGTCCCCTGGTGGGTGTGAATGTCTAAAAGTTCTATACTTCAAACTTGTTTATATATATATATATATATATATATATATATATATATATATATATATATATATATATATATATATATATATATATATATATATGTATATATATATAAACTTGTTTATATATATATATATATATATATATATATATATATATATATATATGTCGCCAGAACGCACTTCTCGGCCTACTATGCAATGCCCGATTTGCCTAATAATCCAAGTTTTCCTGAATTAATATATTGTCTATTTTTTTCTTATGAAATGATAAAGCTACCCATTTCATTATGTATGAGGTCAATTTTTTTTTTATTGGAGTTAAAATTAACGTAGATATATGACCGAACCTAACCAACCCTACCTAACCTAACCTAACCTATCTTTATAGGTTAGGTTAGGTTAGGTAGCCGAAAAAGTTAGGTTAGGTTAGGTAGGTTAGGTAGTCGAAAAACAATTAATTCATGAAAACTTGGCTTAAACTTGGGTCAAAAGCAATGCAACCTGGGATGTCACTGAATTCTCGAGGAGTCCTGAGGCTTACAACTGAAGCCCAATCACTACTGGACTGCGGAACTAGTGAACCATCAAGCGAGACAGTATAGGGGTGGGCAGCCCGTCCTCCAAACAAAGATCCAAAAGTGATTCCATGCACCCACCAAACCCACTGTTTATGAATGAAAAACGATTTACACACGACTCACAACTCATTTCGTTCGAACACTTCCGGAACAAGTGCTTCACTGACGAATTTTGTTCGAACCACAACGCTATAAATGTGTACCCACGTACTACAAATACAAATAATCGCCAACAGAGCCCAACCACCTAACCTAACCTAACTTATGCCTATATATGCATAATATGCTAATATATCATAATATTAATTTATATTTGAGAAAATTCCTGTTTTGAATGAACAGCATGTTAAAATTTATGAATGCGTCTGTGGGGTCGACCGCTGGTTGTAATGGACTTGAGTCGAGGACGGGTTGGGGTGGGGGGAGGTTAATGCGTGAAACTCTGATTGGGGCTTCAGTTGCAAGCCTCAGGACTACTTGAGGATTCAGCGAAATCCCAGGTTGCATTGCTTTTTTGCATGTCATGGAGTAGTGGTCTAGGGCGTTACCTTGAGAGTACCAAGTGAGCAAGGTTCAAATCCTCTTCATGGCTCCTTCTGAGTCTCTCATCATAATGAAATTATTCAGTAAACATGCAGTGCTATCTTATTTTAATTATAATCACAAAGAACAACAACAAAAATTCTATAACTGTCATTAAAGAATGAACTCAGGTATAACAAATTCTCCGGACACAGGGAACGACACCGAGGCCACACAAGACCCACTAGGAGACCCACTGCTGCCGACGAGGACAAGTCATCATGGAGACGATGAATGTCTTTGTCATTGTGATGATCTCTCTTGCTGCTGGGGTAAGATCTGCTTATTGGCCCAAACTTTTCCTCTTCTTCTCTCATCAGTTATCGTCAGTTTTTGTCTGTTTCCTGATCACTATCATCTGCCTCTCCAAGCCCCTGATCACTATCATCTGCCTCTCCTAGCCCCTGATCACTATCATCTGCCTCTCCAAGCCCCTGATCACTATCATCTGCCTCTCCTAGCCCCTGATCACTGTCATCTGCCTCTCCTAGCCCCTGATCACTATCATCTGCCTCTCCTAGCCCCTGATCACTATCATCTGCCTCTCCTAGCCCCTGATCACTATCATCTGCCTCTCCTAGCCCCTGATCACTATCATCTGCCTCTCCTAGCCCCTGATCACTATCATCTGCCTCTCCAAGCCCCTGATCACTATCATCTGCCTCTCCAAGCCCCTGATCACTATCATCTGCCTCTCCTAGCCCCTGATCGCTATATAACAATGTACAGCACATGTATACGTGCAGCACAAGTATACATGCAGCACATGAATACGTGCTCCACAAGTGCACATGCGGCACAAGTATACGTGCAACACATAAATACGTGCACCACAAGTATATGTGTAGCGCATGTATACGTGCGGAACAGATATGTGTTCAGTGCATGTATATGTGCAGCGCAAGTATACATGCAGCACATGAATGCGTGCACCACAAGTATACGTGCAGCACAAGTATGTGTGCAGCACATGTATACGTTGTGCACATTAAAAATGTAATCGGAACCCCATAAAATAATTATAAAAATAATTCATTGCGTCGGGGGACAGGCAGCCAGCGTGTATTCACACACGTTAGGCTTATATAGAGGTCCCCCCCCCTCCAAGGACCCCGCCCAGGTTGCAACCCCTCAACAAGTTGACTGACTCCTGAATACCTACTTACTGCTAGGTGACCAAGTAAGTGATAGGAAATACATCTAACCCTTTCCGTCCCGCCTGGGATTCTAACCCAGAATTCTCGATTGTGAGTCGAGAACGAATCCGACTGTACTACTGAAACTCTTGGTAGTTCAGCGGATAAGTGCAGTCTGCTGAACGATGTAATCTACTACTCTTTCTCCTCTTAACCGAAACTGCTCGAAACAATTTTAAATGCCCCTAAATCTTCGTTTATATCACAGGCATATCCAGTCCCTTTCTTCTAACGTGAGCCCCCCCCCCCCCGTGCACGTCTACTCCTAACCCTATTACATCATGTTGCAACATGTCCTCGCAATGATGCTACCTTCCACATGGGGTAGCAAGTCAATGCATTTTTTTTTTTATTAAGAAATGAGGTACATCTGCATTAGTGCAGCTACCCTAGACTATATGAAGTGGAGTACAGTGTGTCAAAAAAGCTAACTAGGTGATGCTAAGAAATCCCCATCACACAGGATGGTTAGTCATACAGAGGCATGTGATAAGCGGTCTGCACTGGCAGACTCCGGATGCATTTTGAGGATATCAACAACACAAGATTGAATAAGGTAGCAGTGGTAATACAAGTCCCCATCTCGCAGGATGGTTAGTCATACAGAGCCATGTGTTTAATAGCCTGCACTGGCAAATTTTGGGTACACTGTGAGGATATCTTCAAGAATACGAGAGTGAATAAAGTAATTGCAAAGCTCCAGGTACCTCATGCCAACTGGTCGGAAAGGCCAAGTCAATGTATTTTTATTTGTCAATGCAAATCTACGGTGTATAAAACTATATTTTCATTAAAACTTAATAACTTCATTTCTCTGAACAAAGTAAACTACGATTTCTATGCCTTACTGAAAATTGTCCAATGCACTGAAATTTCCACTTTAACTTCGTTCATTCCACATGCACATCCAGTCTCAGTCTCCCCCCAGTTTGTTGCTGTTGTTGTTGATTCAGCTACAGGGAACACAAAGTTGCAAGTAGCACGGGCTATGGTGAGCCCGGTGTGGACTTCCCTGGCACAGGAGCGGGGCAAGTAGCACGGGCTATGGTGAGCCCGGTGTGGACTTCCCTGGCACAGGAGCGGTGCTGTATGATTTATGAGGTTGCAAGATCCCCGAGTCTTAAAAATCTGCTCAGTAATCAGGGCGGACGAGGGGGAGAAGCCGCCATAAAGGACAGAACTGGTAAGCTGTTCCACCGCCCTCGTCCCCCCATCCCTCTGCTATGACCCAAATACTTTCTTACCCCCAACCCTATTGTGTCTTCTTGCCACATATTCCAACTTTGTTTAATACCCATTTTTTCGTTTGCCTTTACTATGTTGCATGCAACATTGCAAGGGCCGCCTGAGGGACGGTCTACGTCTCCTCTTATCACTGTCAGCTACCTTTATTGACCTCACCTCACTGCCATCTACCTTTACTAATCTCTTATCACTGTAATCTACCTTTACTCATCTCTTATCACTGTAATCTACCTTTACTCATCTCTTAACACTGTAATCTACCTTTTCTGACCTCTTATGATTGTAATCTACCTTTACTGATCGTTGTTTCACTGGAATCTACCTTTTCTGACCTCTTATCATTGTAAATCTACCTTTACTGATCTTTTTTTCACTGTAATCTACCTCTACTGACCTCTTATCACTATAATCTACCTCTACTGAACTCTTATCACTGTCATCTACCTTTACTGACCAGCTATCACTGTCATCTACCTTTACTGACCGGTTATCATCACCTTGTGTCTTTAATGACTGATTGTCACTGTCTTCTTGCACACAAACCCAGTTTCACAATACTAAATCCCTTTCTTGGGGACAAGACGACTGTCTCTGAGAAAGGGACTGTTCTTCCCGTAACCTTACCCAGGATGCAACCCCACAACAGGTGTCTAACTTTCCGGTACCTAATTATTGCTTGAGTAAACATATGCAATAGGTGAAAGGAAACATGCCCAACCATTTCTGCTCAGCCTGGGAATCGAACCTTCATTGGCCCATTATCACTGTCGTCTGCCTTCATTGACCCATTTTCAGTATTATCTGCCTTCATTGACCCATTATCAGTATTATGTGCCTTCATTGACCCATTATCAGTATTATCTGCCTTCATTGACCCATTATCAGTATTATGTGCCTTCATTGACCCATTATCAGTATTATCTGCCTTCATTGACCCATTATCAGTATTATGTGCCTTCATGGACCCATTATCAGTATTATGTGCCTTCATTGACCCATTATCAGTATTATCTGCCTTCATTGACCCATTATCAGTATTATCTGCCTTCATTGACCCATTATCAGTATTATCTGCCTTCATTGACCCATTATCAGTATTATCTGCCTTCATGGACCCATTATCAGTATTATGTGCCTTCATTGACCCATTATCAGTATTATCTGCCTTCATTGACCCATTATCAGTATTATCTGCCTTCATGGACCCATTATCAGTATTATGTGCCTTCATTGACCCATTATCAGTATTATGTGCCTTCATTGACCCATTATCAGTATCATCTGCCTTCATTGACCCATTATCACTATCATCTACCTTCATTGACCCATTATCACTGTCGTCTGCCTTCATTGACCCATTATCAGTATTATGTGCCTTCAATGACCCATTATCAGTATTATCTGCCTTCATTGACCCATTATCAGTATTATCTGCCTTCATGGACCCATTATCAGTATTATGTGCCTTCATTGACCCATTATCAGTATTATCTGCCTTCATTGACCCATTATCAGTATTATCTGCCTTCATGGACCCATTATCAGTATTATGTGCCTTCATTGACCCATTATCAGTATTATGTGCCTTCAATGACCCATTATCAGTATTATCTGCCTTCATTGACCCATTATCAGTATTATCTGCCTTCATTGACCCATTATCAGTATTATCTGCCTTCATTGACCCATTATCAGTATTATCTGCCTTCATTGACCCATTATCAGTATTATCTGCCTTCATTGACCCATTATCAGTATTATGTGCCTTCATTGACCCATTATCAGTATTATCTGCCTTCATTGACCCATTATCAGTATTATGTGCCTTCATATACCCATTATCAGTATCGTCTGCCTTCATTGACCCATTATCACTATCATCTACCTTCATTGACCCATTATCAGTATCATCTACCTTCATTGACCCATTATCAGTATCATCTACCTTCATTGACCCATTATCAGTATCATCTACCTTCATTGACCCATTATCAGTATCATCTACCTTCATTGACCCATTATCAGTATCATCTGCTTTCGTTGATCTATTATCACAATAAGTATTTACTAAGTCTAGTATTATTTCCAGTTTTTGCCTTTAATGACCATTATAAAACCAACTGATGTATTCCTTCACTCATTATGAAAATATTGTGCCTTAAATATAGTTATTGGTTTTGTATCGTTTGTTTCTGGTAGGATTCCTTTCCCTTCTATGCCGCCTTTGTACTCACCTCACCTAATTGTGCTTGCGGGGGTTGAGCTTTGGCTCTTTGGTCCCGCCTCTCAACCGTCAATCAACTGGTGTACAGATTCCTGAGCCTATTGGGCTCTATCATATCTACATTTGAAACTGTGTATGGAGTCAGCCTCCACCACATCACTTCCTAGTGCATTCCATTTATTAACTACTCTGACACTGAAAAAATTCTTTCTAATGTCTCTGTGGCTCATCTGGGTACTAAGTTTCCACCTGTGTCCCCTTGTTCGTGTCCCACCCGTGCTGAAGAGTTTGTCTTTGTCCACCCTGTCAATTCCCCTGAGAATTTTGTAGGTGGTTATCATGTCTCCCCTTACTCTTCTGTTTTCCAGGGACGTGAGATTTCCAAGGATTTGTGTTCTTTAAGTGATGTTGACTATATATACCGTTACATCTGTAGATTCATTATTTACTTGCTTAAATGCAACCCATCCTCCTGTTTGGATAGTACTTTTTGTAACTATGTGTACCACAGTACAAACATTGACATACTAAGCAATTAGATAGCAGAATTTTGTATTATTCATTTTATAGAGTCCAAAAAATGAAGCCCAAGACAAGTAACTGAAATATTCCTAGGCCCTAGTATAGCTCACATATGCACTATATTAGGCCTCAGATAGCGTGTATTATGCCTAGGAAGGGTTAGGTTAGTTTGTCTTTGCAACATAAGTAGAAAACCGTTTTCCGGTTTGGTCAATTTCAATAGTTCAATAGTAATATCAGAACAGGAGGATGGGCTGTTAAATTTCATAAAGGCAGCAGCTGCTTTATATGTGTATTTGATCATTGAATTAATTTTTAATCAATAACGCACCAATGTAACAAAAGCTCAGTATTTACTAATTCCACAAAACAAAAAATTACTTCAATGGCATACACTTACGATTGAAATATCTTTTATCGAATTTGTTACTTGAATGTTATCATGATATTCATAATAATTACTGAACGATTTATCCTAACTCCAAAACTGTCAAATTCTGAAATCCAAACATTTCTGGTGATATAATGTACAGATTTCTGAAAATGAAACTAAAGACAACTTAGACAGAGAGAAGCACATAAAGTGACAATAGAAGACCAACACCTCAGCCAGCATCACTTTAATGCAAAGAACTTCTCTCTCAACATTTTAATCCCACCTTGTATTAGTGTTTGCATGTATGACTCGCAGTTCATAAATATTGGTGTATTAGCAACTACAATTGCCAAAGCAAGATTCTTGAAGTTGCATATGTATTTACATGGCAATACATACAAGTCAGTCGATCAGTTATCAGATGCCTTTGATCTAATTATTCAAGAGCTATGGAACATTTAATGACCTCAAACGCATACTTCTCCTTCTCCAAGGCGTGATTTAGGCGTGAATCTAAATAAGATACTCCTTTACTGTAAGATAATCAATTTTTAATGGATAATACTTATAATTTAAATAAGATAAGCATTATTATGCAGCCTCTTTGTAATTGTAATTGTTTATTTAAAATTTGTATTATTTCTAAAATAAGGTTTTGGAAAGGAAAATATTTTTCAACTTGTGTTCCAATTAAAGTTTATATCATAAAATCTGTCAACTTGAAACACTTGAACTATGTGAGTGCAGGTGAGTGTTGAGGACTGGAGCGTGAAGGAGTGTGAGGACAGTGGTGGACAGTGTGTGAGGGTCGAGGAATGTTCCCATGAACCTACCCACCTCCCTGGCTGCCCTAAACATCAGGTCTGCTGCAGACTGCTCTCGTCTGAATCCCAACGTTTTGGTAATTGTCTGTAGTTTGTCTGCATTCTCATTCTCCTGATATGCTTTCGCTGATATTTTAAATATAAGGTGTTTGTGCTTTGTTTTAGAATCTGCATATTCATTAATGCTATATATTTTAACTGTGTAGTGCGAATTGCTTTTAATTTGATCAAGATGGTCAGCTCAAGTCATAATATATTAAACATATTTCATATTTTTTTGTTCTCTACATTTACATTTGTATTTCAGTAATTCACTATGTTATTTATTATTATGGTATATACTATTAAAATTAATTCATAAAGAAATCACATTAATTAAATTAACGTGAAATGTAAATAAATGTTAAAAATGGGGAGGTCACTTTAGAACAGGAATTCGTACAACTGGTTAGAAATGTTAAAAAAGAGATAAGGAAAGCAAAAAGAAACTATGAAGTTCGCATAGCAGGGCAAGCAAAGAC